ATATATATATATATATACTGTATATACACAAGTTATTTCTGGTCCTCAAATCTGATTGGCTGACAGGAGTGCGATATTCTAGTGATAACAGAGCTCCAACCGTTTCACCGTTTATATCCCTCTGCTTGCAGTATTTCTCAGTGAATCTCATGGCGGACGGCCAAATCCAATATAATCTTATAAATAATACTGTTTTGTAGGGCTGCACGATAAATCGCATGCGATATTTAACGCGCATCTTGTCAGTAAAGCCGGTTCTGTAATCAGCGGTAAATCTCCATCACGTGCGGGCTTTCACATGGAGCAGCATTTACTACACAGAGCCGTTGTTCACTGACAAGCTGCGCAAAACCACGATCATATTTTGCGCATGTTTTGCGCAGCTTGTCAGTTTGTTTTGTGTCTACTGCCTACTGTTTTGTGTCACAGAATGAAGTTTTAAGATTTTTTTAGGTGAGAATGTACTAGTTTAGACTTCAAATATGCGGTTTGTTAATAAAGATAACGTATATTTGAAAATTTGCTTCAATGTTTTCAAAGATGTGAGCTCCAGGGCGTCAGCGGCCATTCAATGGCCATTCAGTGCTCATGAACCTGCCGAGAGCAGTCTTACCTCGGCCAGATCTTCTGGAATTTGCCGCTGACTGATGTCTCTATAGTGGTTAAACATGAGATATATAATTCGTAATATTAATGCTGTATATCAGAGTGCTGCCTTTGTACTTTTGACTGAACTGCCTAGCAACTTTTATGATGGCTGTTGTTGTTATTAAATATTATTATTCAATAAATTATATTTTATATAAATAATAGTAGTATTTATTTATAGTATTTGATATTGAATAAAGGTGTGTGTGTGTGTATGTGTGTATGTATAGGTTTTTCTATACTGGAGGGGACTTAAACCTGAATACACACCAACTCATGGGGACTTGTGTTACCGTGGGGACCTAAATTGAGGTCCCCATGGGTACAAAAGCTTATAAATCATACAGAATTAGGTATTTTGAAATTGTAAAAATGCAGAAAGTTTTCTGTGAGGGGTAGGTTTAGGTGTAGGGCGATAGAAAATACAGTTTGTACAGTATAAAAACCATTATGCCTATGGGGAGTCCCCACAAGGATAGTGCACCAGACAGTGTGTGTGTGTGTTCATGATGGTGATTAGTTACATTGTTCCGCCATTAGATGGGGACAAGAGACTGTTTTTATGAGTGAGTCAGCGGTAAAGACTTTTATATTGAAAGAGACTGAAACAGGGTTGTAAACAAGGAAGTTATTTTTTTACTTTCAACAACACCTTGTAAGACGCAGCCAACAAAATAATGCGTAGCGCTGTCATTGGAAATCACCCTTAACAGATTAAAGGATGGTACGACAAAGATATCGCTTTCCTCAGCGGACATTCAGACTAATGTTTTATTGTGAATATGAGATTGAGCTGAAGAATGAATGCTGTATCAGATGCAGGTAATCACTCACTCAGTCAATCTCTCTCTCTCATAATACTCTACATAATACAGGGAGCTTTTAATACAGCAATACAATAAGCTTTCAATGAAGCAACTCAACGTTCCTTCGTTACTAGTTCTAAAGTGACGTTTTCGAATTAGCAACGGAGGCTTGATTCAGCTGTTAAACTGTCAACTTGAGATTTAAATCCGTGGCGGAAGGAAGTAGTTCCGCACAAAAGAGGGGTTTTAAAGACACTCCTTCGTTGTTTCTTATGTATTTACACACTTGTGCCGTCGAACTGTTGTATAAACGCAATATCACACTCGTCCTGTGGCCTTGTGCCTATGGCCGAATCACAGCTGTGCCGATATACAGCCATGTTGCACTGCTACTTGTGTGATATTGCTCATATATATATATATATATATATATATATATATATATATATATATATATTTATTTATTTATTTATTTATAAACATTTGCATCTGCCAGTTTGTGAATCTTACGGCAAAAGATAAATCAAGTTTATAACAGTTATCAAATCATCCAAGAGATTCTAGCCTTTAAATATAGACACCTGAGAACAGCTGCTATACTCTCTCACTCCAAAATGGCACGTCTTCCTGAGAAATGCTTTATTTATTCTTTTTTTAGCGGCCTCGCTGAATACATTTACAGACAGAACATCAAGCATCTAAAGTCGACACCTAGCCTACTTACTGTGCGTATCAAAGCATGTCCTTTTATTTTTAGAAGTAGGAACCGTATTTTGTCATTAATACGCTGACTTTTATGGCCCCTTGACCCACATCTGAGGCACTGGAGTCAACACGGGTTTCTATGAAAGACTAGGCTTCTATTTTAAGAAAATTAAAATGCACTGGGGAACACTCAAAAGATTGATATTGAATTAGTTTTTTCATTCACTTCCATTCTCATCTTGACTAACGTGTCACATTTGTCTGAGCACAGTTCATATTTGATGTTTACGGCTATGGGGACTGTTTGCCTGACCTCATTCACTTTAATTTAGTTTGTGTCTTCTGATCAGATTAGCTACTACTGTGAATAAACACCTTCAGAGGGGCAGAGAACGCTGTAGACGAGAGGGACCCCAATATTAAAATGTGACGGATATGAAAATAGGCTCTGCCGTTCCCTCAGTGGATTATCTGTCAGTGTTTACTTCAGATTTTTATCCTGAGAACAGAACATTGTCTGCTTAAAAATGTGTTAAATCTAAACAATGATAGTGAGACCCTGTGAAAATCCAGTCTGTTATTTATTAGTCACAAAATAAAATATGGCTTTATCTCCTTTAAAAAAGAAAAAGAACCACCGAGGGTTAATTATGAAACTCTATTTTCACTTATTTTACATTTCCACATGGAAGTTGGCATGATAAGCCCCCAGTCCCACCAAATTCCCCCAACTGTACCCTCGTCTTTTAGCTCTTGCATATCATGTTGTTTAATTATTTGTGACTTTATGGCTGCATCTTAGAAAGAGATTCTTTCCTTCCACAAAAATGCAAGATCAAATCCACAAGTCTGTGCTCAGTTACTGTTTGTGTGTCTAAGGATCTTCCTCTTAAGTCTCCCTGGGATACTGTCAAAATATGAATGGATGAATAAATTTACTCTCCCAAAAATAGACTGACATCTTCATGAATGATTTCATTCCCCAGGTTGAAAGTCCATCAGGACAGTGTTAAAATGCCCAAATGTTCTAGTGTACTACTGAACAGTGTGCTGTGTATTCCATTTGATGAAATATGGTTTATATGATCTTATATGCAGAGCTTCAATGCAATTTTCTTCTTCTTCATTAATCAATAAATCCATAATGTTTAATACAGGTTTCAACTCTTCGATTTTACTCGAATTTTACTGTAATGGGTGGAATTTTTTTTTTTTTTCTTTCCTTTTTTTTATATATTTTGCTAAAATTCTAGTTTAAGTCATGTCTAGTTTATGATGAATCATGTGAGAAACAGACTAAAATTAAAGCATTTATTGGATGAAAATCTTGCCTTGAACCGTAAATGTCAATATATATATTTAGGCTTACGTATTTTCAAACTGGTCAGTCATGTGTTTTGCGAGTACTAATGGCAAACCTGCTGCACTTGATTCACAATGTTTATATGTGCAACTCACAACAGTGCATGTTCGATAAGCTAGACTTTCAGTATATCACTTCAATTTTAGTCTGTTCCTCATTCAAAATGTGTTTGTATTTTTTTTATTAATTACAAAAAAGTACACTACCATTCAAAAGTTTGGGGTCAGTGCGATTTTTTAAAATGAAATTAATGCTTTCATTTTGCAAAGATGCATTAAACTGATAAAAAAATGACAGTAAATACATTTGTAATGTGACAAAAGATTTCCTTTTCAAATAAATGCTATTCTTTTAAACATTATAACAGTCAAAGAATCTTTAAAAATGTATAATGGTTTCCACAAAAATATTTATTATTTATTAAATAAAAAAATATTATTCCACAAAAAATATTGCACTATTGTCTTCAACATTGATAATACGTTTTTCTTGAGCACCAAATAAGCATATTAGAAGGATTTCTGAAGGATCATGTGACACTGAAGACTGGAGTAAGGGCTGCTGAAAATTTAGCTTTGCCATCAAAGGAATAAATTGCGTTTCAAAATATATTAGAATAAAAAACTGTTATTTTACATTGTAATAATAGTTCGCAATTTTACGGTTTCTACTGAATGTTTGATCAAATAAATGCTGCATTGTTGAACATGAGAGATTTTTTTCAAAAACATAAAACATTTTTACCAATCCCAAACATTTGAACCGGTAGTGTATGATTATATGATAAGATTCAATAGGTATTTCACCTGTTGAGTGTCGGCCAAGTTTTAGCATCCTGAGAGACCTCATTAGCCGCAGCACCTGAACTACCCGTCCAACGTTCTCCAGCTCCGTAGATCCACCATGCAGGCTCTCCACAGCCAGAGTCACATAGAAGGGTAGAATAGCCAGCAGGTCAATGATATTCGCCACACTCCTGCTGAACCTACACTTATCTCTAACACACATGAACCTGAGCACCAGCTCACCGGTGAACCAAATGACACAAATGTACTCAAGAGTGTCCAAGATGATGGGTGTACCAAGTATAGTGAAGTCCAGCGAAATCAGAGCAATGTTCAGGATGGACACCACCACAAAGAACATGGATAGCGTCCCAAACATCTTGGCCGCCTTAGAGGAGTCCGGCTTCTCCATAAGATCCCATAGACGTTGGCGTAAGTCCTGGCACAAAACACCAGTGAAGTCCTCCTCCTCGTTGTCCATTACTTCAGAATCCTTACAAATATCCAACGACTCCTTCATCTCCTTCCGGCGGTAGTATCTGTCCCTGCAACAGCTGTCTATGCGGAGCTCATCGATGCCCCAGTACTCGATCTCCTGAAGGAACGAGATCACACACAGCTCCTCTCGCACATGTAAGTGACCGGTCTTGTAGAAGTTCATGATGTACTGAAAGGTCTGCGAGTTGCGGTCAAAGAAGAACTCGTTCTCCAAGAAATCTGCATCATCGCACAGATCTAAAGCGGAGTCTCGATTGGAGAGGGCCAGCTTGCCCAGCCGAGTCTCCGGGTGACAGACCAACAGTTCCTGAGAGAGGATATAGCGGCTGCCTCCGACATTTATAATGAAGAAGTCCAGCGGATCGTCGCTCGGTAGTGCAGGCTCGCTGAAGAATACACTAGAGTCCAAGGACAGCAGCGAAGCATTGTCCTCGAAGAACTCTGCCGGACTTGATGAATCCGTGATCATGGTGTTCTGAGTAACGTTGAGCCCTGAGAGACCCAGTGGGGGAAAGTGCATTAGTATCACAGAATGGAAAGAGCAGTATCAATAATAATGAGGATTTGGCTGCTGGTCTAAATTTAGAATAAAAATGACCCATATTTGAGCTTTTCACACTTTAAATTGTCTTAACCCTGGGCGAACAAAATCTTTAGTTATCATATTCTACACTGTTCTTACTTTATCATGATATAGTAAAAAATTATTTAATCAGGTTTTGAGATTTCACACTGTACATTTGTGAACCATTGGTTAATGTTGATAACTACTGCACAAAATTAGAAATATATCTGATTCTATTAAAGAATTAGTTCACCCTAAAATGAAAATCTGTCATCATTCACCCTCATGTGTTTCCAAACCTGTATGACTTTCTTTTTTCAGATATTCTGAAATATTAAAGTATTTTAAATATATTTTAAATATCTCATTGAAGGTTAGTGGGGTTCAATTTTGTTTTGGACCCTACTGACTTTCATTGTATGTACAAAAACAGTTGAAACATTCTTCAAAATATCTTCTTTTGTGTTCCGCAGAAGAAAGAAAGCCATACAGGTTTGGAATGACATGATGGTGAGCAAATGATGACAGAAATTAAATTTTTTTGGTGGACTTTCCCTCCCCATCACTCCAGTTAATGCTTTTGCGCTGATTATTTTTACTGCTTTATTTAGATGCTAGAACTTTCAGCTTTGCAAGTTTCTGCAAATGTACAAAGCATATGAATATTTAATGATGTAAGCACTGAGATAGGTGGTTGTCTGCTGAAAAAACTTGCTGTAACACATTGTTTCACTTTGACACCTTGAAAGTTTCATAACTCAGGGTTAAAACTTACCTTTAGTCTGGGTTTAAAAAGACGTTAACACAGGTTTAAGTGTAGTTTGAAGCCCTATAGTGTGTGTTTTATCCAGTAAATATCACACATTACAATACTTCATCTGCCTTACGATTCTCACATAAGCATTTTAATAGATATAAAAAGACAGTTCGGATAGTCTGTGCATACATAGGCTAAGTGTAATACCAATTTATTGAAAGCTCTGTGTATTGAATGAGCAAATTCCCTTAATTAAAATGTTTTTATTTCTCTTTTACGCCATGACTGGCAGACATCAGACACGGTGGGAGGGAGAAGAAGCCTTTTGCAGTGTCCTACTTCTTCAAAGCTGCGTTGAGATTTAAATATTTTAGCTGGCCTGTCTAATTAATTGAACTAATGGTACTATTCTTGTAATCATTCATTCTCTTCGGTAAGCTCCTCTACAATATTGTCACGATGGTCATTTTAAAACCTGCATTTTTAACAAGGTCCCATGGTATCACACTAAAGAGATCTGAGCACAATGTGAGAACAATACCTTTCAGAAGAGATTTCATTTTTAAGCAGTTTTATTTTGATTCACTAAAGCAACCCACTTTCAATGTACTGTATCACTGTAAAAAGTGAACACAAGCACTGCTGTTTATACCTCATCTTATCCTTAAAAATACTTTCATTAGTGTAACCCAATATACTCAAGTCAGTCCAGTCACAGATTATATTTCTGACTAGAATATATATATATATATATATATTTTTTTTTTTTTACATTATGGACAACATAAAAACATTTAAATAATTGATTGCAATTGAAAGGAAAACATTGTCTACTCTGATATGAACATAAAATGCATATCAGTAAAAGCATTCTAAAAAATAATAATATCAGAATTTTAGCTCTATACTTAAATTATACGGAGAAGCTTTTATTTAGAAACAAAATCTAGTTCAATGTTAAACATTCAGTGGGGAATATAAAGGAGAGGTTTGTGTAGATCCAGAGAAGTAACAACAAATTCATATTTTATAAAATTCAAATAATGTCTATCTCTCAATCTGATAATGCCTGTGCAAAGTCATTCCGTTTGTCAGTTATTTTACAAGGTATTTAGTGCACAGTTAAACCGCTGTCTACAAGATTCTAAATAGGAAATCATATTCATATGAAATAAATTAATACTCAAATGGCCTGCATTTAAATAAGTTTTAAACTTATCCAGCCTTTTAAATATCAACTGAATATCTAAAAATACAAAACATAAAGAATCATACAGGAATAAGTGGACACCCACCTTCAGCCTATAAGCCTACACTGAAAGCTCGTGTGTGAGGTGAGCCGGATCCATCTGTCTCTTCACTCTGTTCCCACTTCAGATGTTGATCCTCTGTCGATAAACTGAAGTACATAATGCAAACCGAATGTTCCCAAATGTTCCCAGTGAAGAAGAACCGATGCGGCTCACGGTTTCGCAGGTTCACCAGAGTTCGGAACAGTTCTGAAGCGCGCTCGTGCACCTTTCACAAGCGTTTTAACGAGCTGGAGAGAGTGCGAGCTATCAACCAATCAGGAGACATTTTCAGGCTGCTAGGCAACAAACTCCAGACACTTAATACAACCAGAAAAAAATTAGACGCGTTGTAATCGTCTGGGAAAATCAAAGCCTTCGCTGTCACGAGATCTACGCTTGTATTGTATGCGCGCGCAGCACGTAGAAAGCAAACCATGCTTTGTTCCTCGTGGGTGGGTCAACTTTGGCCTTAAACCTACGCTTGATTCAAATAACTTTTCCCACACATTTCAAAACAATGTCCATGGTTTGGTAGTACGAACAGGGTGGCCATGCAGCTGCGAGTTGATTTACAAACTCCGATTTTATAGCATAAAACCTGAGAAACAGGATTTTGTGAGAGGAATAGGTAGAGAAGTGGGTTATAAATGTTTGTCGGTCCCTGCTTTTAGGAAACCTGAAATGTAGAAGCACATGACAGAACACTTCTTTAACACCTCAGGTGTTTATTTTACTGGTTTTTAATGCTATATGATATAACGGTTTATGGAATAAAATGTAGCCTACACAGTCTATTCACTTTGATTAGAACATATCTGATCTCACTGCAGGCCTGCATATTGTATAACTACATAATTGTATAACTGGTGATGTGTTCATGAATGAATGAGTAAGCTAATTACTGAATCAGCAGGTGAGATGGATCACAAATGTGTGGAAGGAGATCTGTGGTCAGAATAGCATACTATCATATACTATCACTATTGCTGAATGTGCACACATTTCTGTAGGCTACACACAGAATATTAGCTTTGATCCATGTTTTTCTTGATTCATTATTTGGTCCGACTTCCTAAAGTTTACAACATTCCTACACAAAATTGAATTGAAATGTAAAATAACTGCTTTTATGATGATAACCACTTGCTGAATTTAACTTGCAGTGTGATTGTGTGAAAAATATGAGAAGATGCATAATGTGCACCTGATGTAGTGAGGTATTGATATACCTTAGCCATCTTCAAAAAACAACTAAAAACACATCTGTTCCATCTTTATTTGACCCTCTAACTCTAGCACTTTCTATTCTATTTTAATTCTACTTTATCTATTTATCTTCTTTTTTATTTAAAAAAAACACTAGCTTTCTAATTTTATATATACTTTTTGTGTGTTTGTGTGTGTGTGTGTGTGTGTGTGTGTGTATATATCTATATCTATATATATATATATATATAGCCTATGCGCAATATAACTCACTATTTCTCCGCAATATAAAGTAGCATGTTGCCCCCTGCTGTTGGTAAAAGTATTGCTACTTCAACCAACTGAAGAACTGGAAATATTCAGCTGAGAGAACATCATTAAATAAAATACATATCTTTTATGAAACTTTTATTAATTTAAATTTCGGGGCATTGCGTATTAGGCTAACTGTTTTTGATGTTCTAAATTAAATGTAGGCCTAATATGAATGCCACATCTATGAATGGCATTGCATTAGAAGAGACAAACAAAAATATCAAATTGCATCTAGACATGGAATAAAACTCACTAAAGTAAAATTTGGATATCATTAAAAAAAAGAACGATAGCACGAGCACACTTTCAGCAAAACACTTCACAAGTAGAATTTTGTTACATTTAAAAATATACAATTATTATGAAAACATAATAGGCTACTGTAATGAATTCCGACTGGCAAATGTAAGTGGACCATGCTGAATTAAGGATATAGGCACTTTTATTCACATTAAACCTATTTTTTTGATGCCACACACCCAAAGGGACAATTTACCGACCCTCATGTTCCATATATTTGAAGATTGTTGTTCCTTGGAGAATGTTGACAGGCAACAGTCACTATTCACTATAACCTTTTGTCCATACAACGAAAGTGAATGTTGACCATAGTGAGGTTGTAATTCTGAAATCCTAGCATCTCCACAGAAGAAATAAAGTCTTACTAATTCGAAACCAGTGTTGGGCTTGTTACTCCGCAAATGTAATTTATTACTCGTTAGGTAGGCTACTCCTGTCAAAAGTAATATTATTACTTTACTTATCACCAGTGTTGGGCAGTAGCTAGTTACAGTAGCCTAATAATATTACTTTTTGCAGTAACTAGTAGTCTAATTACTAATAAGATTTCAGTAATAATATTACAGTTATCATCCATAAAACAGCTCGTTACTTTGTTACATTTGATGCCTCAACCCCTGATTTGAAATCCAACAATCCAATAATTCCTAGATTTATTTTCATCATTTTCACAACTCGCACAGGCACATGAAGTCACCAGTGCATCAGGAAAGCTAGAAATATGGAAATGCTTACATTTCGGGTGTTGGAAATATTGTCATTACACTGATTTTGTAGTTGTGGCATTACTGGCATTTCATGGCTTGCCCACCCACATCCCTATGATCCCGATATAAATTATATTACTATAGCCTAATTAAAAATCTTATGAATTTATGTGTTTCTTTTGATAAAATACTTGTGAAAATATGAAATCATATGATAATCATATGGGTAAAAGAGAAATTATAGCTACAATTAGCTTCAAGCTACACATGACAATTAATACAACACTTTTACTTGAAAGCCACTATCAATCACCACTGAGTGTTTGTAATGCCATGTAATGCTAGAGTATGCCACAACTTACACATCTTGTGTTCAGATCACATTTTCTCCTGACAAAATCAGTGTAATGGCAATTTCCATCCCCTGAATGTAAACTTTTCCGTAGTTCTAGCTTTCCTGTTGCACTGGTGACTTGTGCCTGTGCGAGTCGTGAAAATTATGAAATTAAATCTATGAATTTTTGGATTGTTGGATTTCAAATCAGTAGGGGTTAAGGCATCAAATGTAACTACTTAACGAGCTGTTTTATGGATGGTAACTGTAATATTATTACTGAAATCTTAGTAGTAATTAGTTACACTACTAGTCAGTGCAAAAAGTAATATTATCACTAGTAACTAGTTACTGCCCAACACTGTTCGAAACTACACGGGGGTGAGTAGGCTAAATGAGAAAACTGTATTTTTGGGGGGCCTGTACTTTTAATAGGTTTTTGTGTCCGCGTGGTCACGCGATAGCCCGCCCTCTCTTTTCAAACGCCATGTTTTCTGCGCACCTCCATCGCGACCAATTGGCAGCAACACTAACGTACAGTGAGTATATGTATTAAAGTATGAGCCCATGAGGTTTACTGAGGTTTTACAGTCTGTAACATTTTCTCTCAATTTTATGTTTACGTACACGAAGGCAGGACTTGCCACGATTTGTTGCAAAAGGACATTTAATTGTTTTTGTGAGCAAGTAGGCGGGACGAATATGCTATTCTGCTGCGCTATCAGTCTCGCGCCGCCTAAAAAAAAGCTTTGAGTCGCCAGTTTATGTATGAGTAAAAGTGTATTTTTCTCTCACGTTTGATTGTGTAATTTACGTTTTCCACCGTTTTCACATAGTTTACCTCACCTTGATCGTACTTTCCTAGCCTGTTAGCACGCAGAAGGTTTGTATCTGCCTGGGGTTTATACAACTGAGACACAAACACGCGCCAAATTCGTTCTGCAGCAAGAGCGCAATATTGACAATGTGATTAGAGGCGATAAATGGAGCTGTTGTGTATGGAAATTATATTAGTAATAACACGTCTACTAATAGTATTCTGTTGAATTCGACGATTATAGCACCGCGACGTGTCTTTTTATCCATTTAGGGTGCAACTGAGATCATGAGTGCAAAAATGGAAGCTTTCAAGACAGAGGATGTTTCTTTGGATGAAAATTCAGTCATAGAAGAAGAGGAGGAGAAGAAGAAGAAGAGAAAGAAGAAGAGTCCATCTGATGATACAGAGCAGGATGAATCAGAAAGCCCTAAACCTAAAAGCAGGTCTAAACCCAAATTGTGTAAGTTAATTCACGTCAACAATTGATGCCAAAGCTTTAATTTCAAGAAATTTTATTTTGATAAGAAGTAACATTATACTTACAGTATCATTACTTTGTATTGAGTTTTTATGTAATTTTCTTAAGCTCATAAATTAAATCGTACCTGATTCCCCCCTCAAAAGTTACAGTTTTTGTCTTTTTGTAATGTTATTTTAATTGTCTTTGCAGTCGAACCTGAAATTCTTGAAGGAAAACGGGAGAAAAAAATTATCCAGAGACTTGATTTGATGAGTAAACCGAAGGAAAAGCCAAAGATTGAGAGCACAGGAAGCGGCGCCAAACTGGGAGACATTGCACGGATTAATCACTCCATCGGAAAGCTTAAAGCGCCTCTGCTCAAACCTCTGCATAAGATTGTATATGATCGCCCGGGAACTGTAAGGTTTAGTTTTAGAACTCATTTAACACATAAATGGCCAAAAGCATATGTTACTACAGATTATTGTTAGATTACAGTTCGTAACTGAATAATGCTGCTTGATGTTCATACAGGCGTCAACACTGCGTAAAAATCTTCGGCTGTTTAATGGATTTCCTTTTGGGGAGGACAATGACCTTTACAGCAAAAAAATGGAGAAGGTGAAAAGGTAGGTCATTTAACTGGTTTGATGTTTTTTTTTCTTTAATATATTTGCACATCAGTGGTAAATAAAGGGATGAAGGCACAAATTATGTGTGCTCTGCTAGGTATCATTGACAGTGACATTGACAGACCAATTTTTGTCCTGTGGTTTATTCTGTGTCAACTCCACAAGAGGTCCCCGGATAATAATTTATCAGGTCAAATATTTTTCTAGTTATCATTGGTTTAAAGTGGGTGTGATAATGAGGTTTTTCTGTCTGGCAGGCTTCACAAGGAACAACTCAGAACCATTTGTCAGACTCTTGATC